CATATTAGCAAAATCTGCAGCAAGGCCTTTCGAAGCCTTTACCATATCAAACAAATCAGGATATACTTAACTGACGATGCTACCAAAATTTTAGTTCATGCATTTATTACATCCCATTTGGATTATTGCAATTCTTTGCTGTATGGAATTCCAAAATATCAATTAAATCGATTGCAGAAAGTGCTAAACGCTACTGCTCGTGCTGTATGTCTCGTGTTATATTGAAAATATAATATTGAAAATATAAATAAATACCGTGTTATATTGAAGATCGTACTGTTGGTTTATAAAGCTCTACATGGATTGGCTCCCAAATATATTCGTGACATGTTGACTTATAAACAAAGTAATAACTACTCTTTGAGATCGGACGAACTAGGGCTTCTTCATGTTCCAAGCACACGTAGAAAGTCTTTTGGTGATCGTGCCTTTTTGAAAGCAGGACCTACTCTATGGAACTTAGTACCGTGTGAGATTCGGCTTTCACCTTCGCTGGATTCTTTTAAGACAAATCTTAAGACATTTCTGTATAGAGATGCGTACATTAATAATACTTCTTGTTTTTAAATATTTTTAAATAGATGCTTATAGTACTTAAATGTTGAGTAATAACGTATAGGCCGTTAGCTGTGTGGGCAAAATGTGGTTAGAAATCAAATTCCGTCGCCCCCATCGCGGTGCTATTTTTAAAAGGAATTAGGAGATTAAACTATGCTGATTTCAAATATCTTTGTTCCCACGCGCCAAAACCCGCTGTTTTTTCACAATGTAAGGCCAAAGTTTGATATTTTCATCCGCTAACCGCCATCTTGAATTCCGCGGTATGTTTGATCTTTCAACATTATTACTTGAAGTATTAAAAGTAACGTGGGCTCATAAACAACCAAATTCATAAATATGGCTAGCAAAACTGTCTTTTCTTGGGAATTTTGTATACATTTTGAAGGTAAATCTGTCGAATTGTGTCACTTAACATCTCACACAAGTTAATACAACTGATAAAATCTAAAAATATTGTGAAAAGTTAGCCCGCGTGCAGGCTCAAGGGAGCAGGCTTAAGGGAACTTGATAGTGGACCTGCAAGCAAGGCCCGGTATTTTGTACTTTCCGCGTTCGCCCACGAACGCAACATTCTGATTGGCTGTTTGCTGTTGTATTCTATAATTAGGTCAGTGATTCATCACAAAGGCATAGACAAAGGCTCTCGATAAGCTTAAAATTCGAAAATTGATCACTTTTTTCGATTACAAATGGAACAAGAACAGACTGTTTAT